GAATTCAATTAAATCTGATTCAACGTTTTCAAGAGAAGGTAGATCAGAGATGGGTAAAATCTAATCTACCTCCTTTTGAAAACATTGAATCAGATTTAATTGAATTCTCTTCCTATGTTTCTTTTTTTTTTTTTTTTTTTTTTTTTTTTTTTTTGGTTTGGTTTCCACATTTCTTTAATTCTTCTGACCTTTGGTTGATTTATTTAAATATTGTTTGGGAATTTTAAAATTTACTGTTCTATGTGAATTTGGTTCTAAATTTCTTACTTTTCAACTATAACTGTGACTATATATATATATATTATATATATGATAATTTATTTATTAAATAATATTAATTATATTATCTCCTAAGATTAATTATAGTAGAATTATCTGAAAAGAGTGAATCCATATTTAGTAAGTTCTATTTCGAAAGATGTTGTGAAGTAACTTGAATGTAAATTGTTAAAAATGTTTAACGGGGACTTGAATTAAATTATGAATAACAAAATTTCAATTGCAAAAGGAATAAATTAAAAGCAAGTAATTAAATTAAATGCAAGTAATCATTGCCATTGATCGGAAATTAGTTGACTTTTCAAGGGGAACAAACCAACTCCCGTTCAATGAACAATAATTAAGAAATAAATACGAAGGTGTTTCGTCATTTACTCGAGCAATAAGGCGATGCCAAACCGGCAATTCAAGCTAGTCCAAACATTACCGTGAATAGAAGGTATTAAGAACCAATGTAGAGAACCAAAGAACTCATTCCGATTAAGCATTTTAGCTAATTCAATTTTGAGTGTAAAGCAATTTCTGCAGTAAAATTGATATCGCTCGAGTAACCGTCCCCCGACACCCTCGTGTTTATGCATTTTAGTACAATATTATTTGTAAAAGTTAAACATTGGAAATTGTCATTATGAAATAGAATACAAAGTAGTTGAAATAAACATTAGAAAATTATATTGCAAAAATTTATGGTGTTTAACTAGAATAAAAGGAGTGCATTTAAAGGAATATCAAACATGCGAATTTGATGTACTAAAGGCATATTACAGTAACAATAGTTAGATGATCTAAATAAAGTACAATGAAATAAAATTAAGTATATATGTTTTCTGTTACAGTAAGTTTTAAGGAATAAATGATAAATTATCTTATTTTATTTTTAAGTGTTAGGCTAGCCTCGCAAGACGGATATAAATTTCAGGACATTTTATGACAAAACATCATCAGTAATGTATGAGTGGGTTATCCAGATTTTTAAATTTCTATAGACCACATGGTAATTTATGTCATGAGCATAAGTTTGGAGATGAATATTCTAAATGGAAGAAAAAAAAATCTTCTTTCTTCAATACACATATTAAAGGAAAAAATTTTTTCAAACTTTTAATCCCTCCATAAAAGTGTATAACGTAAATGTGTATATGTAATATATATATAAATATACTTATTATTCATACATACTCAGAAGAAGAAAGGAAGCCAAACTTTGGCGTTTGATAGAGAAATGGAGATTTTAAGTTTCTGTAAGAAAGTTATTTCAGGAAAGAAACATTCAGAGAGAAATCATAATTCTTAAAAACCTTCTCGTTGTTGATCGATGTTCCTCAAAGGAAATATTTCTGGCAGCTTGAGCCATGAAATTAATTTCTGCAATATTTGATCCATGTTATAAACACTTTTCGTTCATTTAAATTCTAAAATAATTTCCATATTTTATCGAATTCAGTCTTTTCCTAAAGTACTTTACAGAATTCTGTTCTTTATTTTTTGCAAATACGAAGTTTTGTTAAATAAAGGTCATCAATTCTCAAATTTATTAAGTAACATAAGGGAGTAAAATTCATCATTTAGTGTGTCATTTCATTGAGGAATAGTTTCCGTTTCTCCCTTTCTGAAAGAAAATTGCAGTACTAAATTTTTTGTGTTTCGAATTCTACCGTTCTGTATTAGCTTTATTAGATACGTTCTGTTTTTGTTTGAAAGGTAATCAAAGTATTGAATTATGACAGGAAAATAAATTTAGTAACGGATTACTTTAACTTTTTTAAAATAGGAAAATTCGATCGGAATTAATTATAGTAAAATGTTGTGTTGCATGTCTTTAAAATTAAGCGGTGCACTTCCCTTTAAACATCCCTTTAAACGGTGCACTTCTCTTGCATGTATTATTATGTTGTTGTTAATCGTTGTGATAAGTAGAAATCATATTTAATACCAGATTTAAGAAAGAAGAACAAACTACATATTTACTTTATAAACCTTTAAGTATATTTTCATTATACATGAATTCAAACTTTGATTATTATTAAATGACCATGCACGTGTAGAGGAAACTCAGTTATCGATATGGGAACTTGGAATGCATTCAATCTGATTTGATAGTTGGTTTTCTGGTTGTTGTATAAAATTTAAATATTTGAGCCATGCGGTAACTCTGTGCAACATTTCCTGTTCCAGGGTCCATAGACTGCTTTCTTTCTTTGAACAAAAAAAATCGATGCGTAGAACATTAGGTATTTTTGAAGCAGGAGATATGAAAAATGAACAATGCCCTTGCCGGGAATCGAACCACGGACCTCTCAAATACGCGCCGAGCGTGCAGACCACTACACCACGAAGAACACGCTAAGAAGGCGAGAGAACTGCCTTATATATGCGCTTGCTTTGTAGAAGATTCAAAACCAATCACAAATAGGACAACTTTAGAATTATATGTAATAAAGTGATTTTCTAAATGACAAAATGTGTGTTACCTTTATTTTCTTAGCTTCTGTCTCTTTTTTGTAAGAAATACCGACTAACCTTTTAAGATGAGATGCAATGGAAGAAATAAAATAATTATAGTTTATATTTCTGGCATATTTTTTGTCTGGGTGTTTGCAAAGCGAAACATAAACGTGTTTACTTATATATAAAATACTTTTGATTTTTAATATATTCAGCCTTGTAAATGTTGCCATAAACTTTGTACGGCGATATTCCTCTCTTTGAACGGATAAAACGTATCCAGAGTGCCATTGCATCTGTGATGGACACTTTCCAATGAAATATGAACAACAATTATTGGTGCATAGAATACTGAGTTTATTTTCCCACACTCTGTATTTCGGTAATCCTTTTACTTCATGTTCAAACAAGTTAGAGCTCAAAATAACTGTTTAAAAGCAAAACCAATGCCCATACTCAATAGATTCAAGATGACATCTTTTTAAAACAGTCAAGCGAAAGCTGAAAATCTGCATGAAATGAATGCACATATCGTAAATCATATACCATTTTTAACGTTAATATTTTTGCAATCTTACTGTTAATGTTAAATATATAGTTTATGTTTATAGCTCTAGTATTTACAATGTTTAAAAGAAACGTTATTTTCTTTGAATTTGATGTGGCATCATAATTTTTAACTCATGTTGTTCTTTAAAACATGGCTTGTAAATGTTATAAGGTATTTCTCCCGCCTTCTTAGCATACCTTTGTAGTGTAGTGGTCAGCTCGCTGAGCGCGTATTCCAGAGGCCCGTGGTTCGATTCCTGGCGAAGGCGCTGCTCATTTTCCATCATTCCTGCTTCCAAAAAATACCTAATGTCTCTACAGTAGCGCCCGAACTAAAAGGGTGGTAGATGATGTTTCTCCACACTCAGGATTTGGCGACTGGGTCCCATAAAAACCCCAGTCGACCTTTAAAAGGGGGAGTATATAAGGTATTTCTACCGCCTCCTTAGCATACCTTCGTAGTGTAGTGGTCAGCACGCTGGGCGCGTTTTCCAGAGGTCCGTGGTTCGATTCCCGGCGAAGGCATTGCTCATTTTCCATTACTCCTACTTCAAAAAAATACCTATTGTCTCTCCCAGGTGTACTTAGCTAAGAACTTACTATTTACTCGAATGTCGCTATGATGAGTTTATGCAGTATTGGCTGACATTGTATGTTAGTGATGGCGAGCCTATGGCACGCGTGCCACAGTCGGCACGCGGAGCCTCATCAGCTGGCATGAGACTAAAATATTACGTCCTTAATCAACAATCACAATAAAATGACACTATGTAATTAAAAAAAGTGTTTTAGTCTGTTCTTGAATGTTTTACTTACATACTTATCGCATAATGCTACTAGCATAGGGCTTAAGCCTAGATATAAGATTTTCATATATCGTATTTCATGATGTTATCTCTTTTTAGCGTATGATCGATTTATATTTAATGCTTCATTTTTAAATTTCGTGCTTTTCTATACTCATTTGTTAGGCATATACTCATTTGTGAGGGAGTTGAACCCTCACAAATGACTCCAGCAGAAAAGGCAAAAAGAATCTTAAAGACAGATTTCTACAGTTCGGTCAGATGGAAACAACCATGTGTTTTCTTACATCTCTAGATAAATCTAACTTTGAAGAATTTGATCTTTCTTGCTTACAATGGTTGGATCTTGAAAACCTGAAATGGATCTATTGGAGTTTCAAGAAAGCTGTAAGTGGAAAAGGAAAATTCTCTGATTTGCGTGCAACACTTAAGATGGAATGTAAAGAAATCACACAGGACAGCACAATTTATAGCTGAGTGATTAGCTGAGTGCTATAATGAAATCCTTAAAGAGTGGGATTTTCTGCTAAATAACTTTAAATCAGTGAAGACACTTGGGGGTGCTATTCTTACTTTGTTTGGATTATCTTATGCGTGTGAACAACTGTTTTCAGCTTTGAATTATATCAAATGCGACACAAGAAACAGACTGACAGATAACCTGAGTGCTGCATGTGTTGCGCTCAAATGAACGAAGTATGAGCCAAGGTTTGACGAATTATCAGTATGAATATAACAGCAAAATTTCCCATTAATTAAGTAAAACCAATCCATTTCCTGTAATAAAAAGTTTTTTGTATAGTTGAAAACTCTCTTCTTGTTTTTTCTCTTTAAATCTTAAGATAAGTGTGTGTTGTTTTGCTAAGCCTGTAGAGACATTAAGTATTTTTTTGGAAGCAGGCAAGATGAAAAATGAGCAATCGCCTTCGCCTGGAATCGAACCATGGACCTCCAGAATATCGGTCCAACGTGCAGAACCACTACACCACGAAGGCACTCTAGGAAGGTGGGAGAAATATCTTATAAGCCAAACCCCACTTTCAGGTTCAATTAGAGTGTTTGCACTTTGCTATAAATAAGCGGGTTTCGGTTGAATTCTGGGCACCCATCCCCAAAAAGGGTCGCCACCACTGGTTTAGTTATAAAAATAAAAATTCATATGAATACCATATAAAGGAAAAAACCATTTCTTAACTTTTTTGAATCAAAAATCATAGTCACAAGTCAAGAAAGAAACGATATATTTCCCCCAAAAGAAATATGTATCGAAAAACAGGAAATCAGTTACTTATATTATGAACCTGTAATACTTGTATGTCAAAAACAAATTAAGCGGAAAGTTTGATTCTAATAGTAAGTGCTAATTTGCGAACTTTCTTGAAAGCAGAGAAATTTCTTTCTTCTAGTTCCAATTAATCCGAAATTTTATTAAATGCGTTTAACACTAGCCCTTCGAATTATTTGAATTGAATGTTCTCTATTTTTCAGTTGAGACTGATAATATTACTTGTACGTAAATTTATACTGTAAATACCAGCAGTAATTGTAACATGATAAGTGAAATTTAAAAAATAGAGTCGTTAATTTTGCCGATTATATAACTGTACCAGTGTGGTATTAACTGTACCAGTGCTTAACTTTTATCTGGAATTAGGATGAATTTAATAATCGATTAATATAACTTATTTACTGATTATATTTGGTTTATTTACTGATTATATTGACTGGAAATATGTTACTGTGCGATAGAGATCAATCAAGCAAAATTGAATTATGACTTCAGAATATAAACTGTTTGCAAACTTTATCTGAATTTCCTTTTAGCGTTTCAGACCTTAACTCTGATGAATTAAAAATTTTTATTATGTTCATTTCATTATTTTACATGCAATATTTAGCAGTATATATTCAAACACTACAGCCGACTTTCAAATGCATGTAACTTTAATTTCCATCATTCATATAATTTTTGAGAAATTTGGGACTCAGCAGCATGCTTTTCATTAAAATTCAGGATAAGCCTCAATTTATATGGTTTGCAAGCTAAGGAAGTTCTGAAATCAAATTACTACCGGAGGTTCAATAGTAATATCCTACACACCATATTTACGTCATGCAAATACTACATGACAATAGTAATTTAATAATTTAAATTTGACATAACCCCTTACGTCTTCTTTTTAATTTGGTTATTTCCCCTATTTGTTCTATAAATTGTAATCTACTTATAATTACTCTTTCTGAAGCGCGTACTTTCAAGAATATTTCATTTTCTATGTTCTTATAAGCCGTCTGCGATACCAAAGGGCCCTGGTTCGATGCTCGTTTTACAAAGCAAATGATGCATGTATTCCCATGACGGCAAAAATGAAAGTAAAATGTCTCTTTTCTAACGACTGCTTTCAAGTAAGTGTGTAGTTTTCCAGCTTCAAAAATGAACCTAACAAGCGTGCATGCTAGATGCGATATTACAGGTTTATGGTTTACCATGATACAAATGAATGCATACTCATCGAAAACATTCTCGTATCTTTATGTACTAGCATTATTTTCAGGCCAGAATGAATCTTATGTTATGTTTAAAATAAAGCCAATGTTTTAAGAAAGTATACTAGCTTATTATGAAAAGAAAATATGTCAGAGTACCGATTTTCATCTCCTATCTTCGTCATTTACACATCAAAATTATTATTACATGCATATTCGCATTTCTGGGGCATTTTTCTCCGCGAGTTCTCCTAGTCATGTAAAAGTATTCCATAAAATTTACTGTTCTCTTCTAGTTTAACAGAATTATAAAACCACAATGGATTACACAGTTATTTAATCTTTCTAAGTTTACGTACAAGTTGTTTAAAGTTTAAATAAAATTATAATTTAATTCTAAGTTTACTTTTAAGCTTATCATTCTGAGAGCTATTCTTAAAAATGTTGCTTAAAATGAATTAGCGTTTTTGAAAGCTATTAGTCTTACTTTTCTGTTACATGTGCTTATAATATATATTTAAATTATTTTATAGCTTCGCAAATCTAGTATCCTAAATCCTGAATTAGCGAGCGAAACATGAATTACTGGTTAACAGATCAACATGCATGTAAATAAGTGAACTGAAGTGGATAACTAAACGAAACAGCCATTGCGAAAAAGTTAAGAAAAAAATATTATCACTGCATAGAATGTTAAAAGTTAAATTAAATAAATAAGAATATTGTTCAAAATTTGATTTTAAGAGTAGGAACATTAATTAAATAAACAGATTTGGGTGATTCATTTATTCAATCGCCCTATTCTTCAACTTTGCAAATAAAAAGGAAACTGTCGGAATAATCTCTGGACCTTTTATTAGCTTTGAAAGCTATTTTAATTTAATTTTGAAGCCAGTGCCTTGTCTGGGCATAAATATAACCTTACGGGAACTTTAGTTAAGTATCCACCTGGAAATATCATGTTACTAAACTTATCATATAATTTTTTTGAAAGCTTCAAAATATCTCAGCTACTCATTTTGTATATTAAGCCGTTTTATTTGTCCATGTTCAAAAGGACAGTAATTTTTCTACACGAATTTGAAACTGTATGCTTATTTCATTTTATTTTCCTTCTGATTAAAGCTATTTAGTTTCCAAAACGTATCTGCTGGACAAGTATCTACTACAAGGTGTGATACAATGTTGTCGATAAGGAGAGGGAGTACAATGATATGTCTGTTAGTTATATGTTAATTTCAAAAATTAAATAATTGAGAAAAGCTATAGAATAAAGTGAAAAATATTCTTCAGTGAAGATAAGATAAAATTGGTTGTTGGATATTATGGCGCGAGGAAAGTTTGTGATCATTTTGCAGCAGACATAAAATTTTGCACTTATACTTTAAAATCTGATGAGTGCATTCTGTATAATCTATGCAATTAATATTATCAACTACTGCAAAATGAATGACTATGCAAAATATTAAAATCAAAATCTGAAAGAAAAATATAAATTAGTGTAGCCATGGTGAAACATGAAAGCAGGGTTACACATAAACATTTAAAAACAAAAATATAAAGACTTAATTTTAAAAAAAAAGAGTTAAAAATTGTACCTCGAGGTCATATAATGAGATACTTACTTCTCCACTATTTTTTAACGTTTTTTTATGCCATCCTTTCCATGTATGTGCTTTGTTATAACTGTATATCATACTCAACGCACCCCATCTTCCTGGAGCAGTCACATTTGTTTATGCGTTGCGTTGCGTTTCGTTTTAAATGTTTGTTTTTTTAAACCTTATTTATAAATTGTAAGGTTTATCCTTGTCCCACTTGCCTATCTCTCCTAATTTCAGCTTACAATTTCTTAACAGAATGAGGTTTTAGAATCGCGTTAAATGCAAATTAGTAGTAGAGAGTATTTAAGTTTCACTGACTTCGAAAGAAAGAGAATTAGATTTCCTGAATAGCGCGCGTTTGGCTTTTGGCTACGCCTCTCTAAGCTGTTACTATGCTTGGCCGTATTACGCGCTCTTGATAGCTTCGCTAGCTAATTTAATATTAGGGCCAACTAGTTAGAAACTGTGTTAGCTTCGGCTAAATCTCTTTAGTTAGTCATTAGTTAAGTCTTATTTCTTACATTTTTGAGTTTAAGCCCAAGTGGAGGCTTTGTTGTACGTCCTAAGAAAGAGGCCGACTGTTACATACTTATGTTGAATGCAATAAAGGGTAATTAACCCTTCTTGAGTTTTACGTTTCTGTTTCTGGACTTAAGCGATTATTCGTTTAGTAATTCACTAGGTTCCTCCCTACTTAGTTAATAGATAAAAGGGAGGATCCCTACAAAGTGTTTGAGTTATTAGTCTAAAGTTTTAAGTTTCTATTTTTTAAATACATCTGAACAATTCTTTATTTTAATACATTTTATTGATATACAGCTTTCCCTAGTTATGATTAAAAGTGTAGTAATTGACATCAGAAAATTTGTTAAGCGAGGGATTTCAATATACCTTTTCAATTACTTTATGAGTCCTGGTACATAGATTTTGAATAGGATTTTATAGTATATTTTGTTTGCTGAGCAGCATTTTATAGCCTATCAAAAGGCTATCCCAAATCATTAATATGGTAACTCATAAGCAGGGTGGAATAAATATATATGGCCCTTACACTGTTTAACTCGCATTTCACTTTTAACTTATATAATTTAACACAGAGATGGAAAACTGCTTTATTCGCAAAGCATTTTTAAGCCTCTATTTTAATTTTTATTTATTTTATTTTTAATAAACGAAAAAGCCATACTCCAGTTTAACCTTGAATGAAATGAATTTTATTATGGCTGGAATGCAAGGTAGGTTTACAAAAGAGGGTTTCAAACTATTGAAAAGCCCTATAAAGAGCTCATCGATTGCAAAGAGTTAATTCTTAGAATACCATTATGTGTACAAAGCAAAAATTATTATTAATTCATTTTTCAAAGGTACTGAAATTTAAAAGGAAACTTACTTTCGTCGCTACAACTGGAAGAGCCAGAATAAGGGACACTATCCAAACAGCCAGCACAAGTTTTTTGCAGTTGCTCATGGTGCACAAGGATCTTGACCGTATAGGAAAAACAATCACGACAAATCTAAAATGAATTTATGACCTTTTGTTTAGGTACGGTAAAAAAGAAACTGTGCAAAATTAGATTTTTAGTATTACTGTCAAATACCCTGTAAATTAAATTAATATTCATACATGTTAAGTAATTTTGAAATTATTCTGCTTAAATCAAATTAGCTTCAAATATAATTAAAATTGAGTCATTACGTTGCTTGAATTTTATCCAGTTATGGCAGCACTGTATTAATCAAATTCTTTTACAGCTTACAAAAATTAACTCAAACTAATAATCCTCAAGGATTCGATTCATATAACTGCAGCAACATATGTTTGAATTTTAATGTAGTTAAATTAGAAATGTGAAGAAAAAGGTCGCTCAAGAACTCATTCCTTCAAATCCGACAGTTTTCAACTGCTTTACCGTAAACGGCCATAATCAAACAATCTGAATTATCATTTAAAATTGGAAATATTTCAAAGAATTTCTCAATTCCCTACTATTTTTATTAATAAGCCGCCATAGAAATAAGCTGGCAAAATAAAGTTTTATTTAATTATGACAAAATCCGCTAGGGCTGTTTGTTTAAGGGGAGGGATGTCTTTAAGCAGAAAAAGGAAAAAAGATTTCTTCTCATGAAGGGTTCCACTCATAAAGACCGTCTGAGGGTAATTGGCTTTGTTTTCCGTTATATATAAGTAAAATGACTAGAAAAAGGGCCACTCGGCTAAGCCGTTCCCGGGCCAATCCAAATGAAACTAGTGGCGTGTTCTGAGGTCTTTCTTAGTCACTCGACTGTTCTGATATGAATAAATTAAAGTAACGGTATTCAGATCGGATCGAATTACCATTATTTTGTGGACTTACCTTCCGGTAAGTCAGAAAAAATAAATTGTATATTTTGCATGCACATTCATTTCTAGAAGATATCAGCGCATACATTGATCTGTTATTTAACTTACTATCAATATGTATTAATAGTTTCATCCTTTTTTATCATTACTTGAATCGCTTTTTTGAGTGCTGAAGTCAAGCTCTCTATATTATAAATACAGGTGGAAGGAGATATTGTGATGCACAAATGTGACAGACTGAGGATTTTTTCCTGACGACACAACCTAGAGTTCACCTTAAAAATAAATAACTAAATGAGCTATTTCTTCTCTTCCTTATACATTTAAATTTAATTGGATGCATTTTTATTATGAAGGAAATACCAAAATCAGCTTTTCTACTAACAATAAGTAATACGAAAATGATGCAAACCTGAAGAATAATTTCTAAATTTAAAGAAATACATCGGTGATCTCTAAACAGCAGACAAAGTGCTTTTTTTCCTCTCCAAGGTGGACACTAACTACTACAGATGTTGACCGATGTCACTTTATTTTGGCACAAGCGATGGTCACTTTATTTTGGAGGCACCGTATAAGTGGGCCACCATTTCTTTCTATGAAGAGAGAAGTGATATCCATGCCTTCTTTGGGATTTGAGCCTGAATACTTAGGTAAAACAGTCAGAATAGCTGACAAAGTAGCCTTACGAATTTTTTAGAAGCTATTCTTAAATGTTATTTAAACAATTTTAAATTTCTCAGAAACTATTCTTAAATGTTATTTAGTCAACGGTCAATTTTTGAGCAGTATTGTTAAAGATTTATTAGATCAGGAAGCTAAAATCAGGCTGAAAATTTATAAATATTTCAACTGTTTTAAAGCTGAATGAATCTGTAGGTTTAGCAAGCACTTCATTTTAAACTTACATTAACCAAATATCTAGAACTTAAGGGTTTTATGCCAGCTTCATGTTCCCGTAATTTACGCCAACTAAATTGAAAGTAACTACTCAAAATTAAATAACGTAATGTTTATTTAAGGCTATTGAATATAGATTAAAAAATAGAAAATAAAAAATTGAAAGGCTACTTGCAAACAATAAAAGCTGTATCACTTCCAACCAAGCAATCTCAAAATTTATTAAAGGGATTTAACAACTACTTAATCTCTAACTTACCTTTACCAACAGCTAAACCCTAAAGGTTTTATGTCGGATTCATGTTCTCGTAATTTAGGCTAACTAAACTGAAAATAGCTCCTCAAAATTTATTGATGTAATTTTTATTTAAAACTATTAAATATATATTAGAAGAAGAAAATAAAAAACTGACACGCTACTTGCAAAAAATAAAACCTATCTCGCTTCCACACAAGCAGTCTCAAAAGTTGTCAAAGGTTCAAAATAATACTGTCACCAAAATCTAAAACGTAAGGCTAACAAAATGACACTTCCAATTTACCACTTCTGTTTCTACCAGGCATAAAAAAAGAACTGTTGCAACTAAACAAAGTCTAAATTAAATTAAAATCCTAGGGTTGTGGATAAGCAGTGCTTAGAAATAAGCACAGCGCTGCACAATTGCGATATCCTAACCTGCTCCTAAGATTTTCATGTTTTGTAAGTTCTTATGTTTCGCCTTCGAGTTCAGATGTAGCTTAAAAAAGATGAAACAGAAATACTTTAAACCGAAATCATTAGAAGCCAAGCATGTATAAATTAACCTTGCATATGTTTTCACAGATAAAAATGGATGGTTTTGAAATGCACCTGATTGACTTTTAAAATTGCTCAAATTGGAAGTACAGAAATTTGTTGACATTGCACTTGATTTGAAAATATTCAAAAATAGCAGTTACACAAGATTAGCATTTTTTAAATCATGAAAAACCACAAAGGGCACAACAGAAAAATCCTTTTTGTAAGTACCTTTTTAGTATAAGAAACTAGAGCATATTCACGTCACCTGTTGGGAAAAACACGGAAATGTTCATGCAGCCAGCCAAATCCATTTGCGGGATTTTTAGAGCGATTACACAACGTCGTAACAGAAAGAAGCGCGATAAAGGATGTATTAAGACTTGGAATGGCTGTTTCAGAAAGATTTACGTCTGAAAACTCTTGCAACAAAAACCATGACATATATGATAATAATCATAATCATATAAATACATTATACATAATCATAACTTACATCTAAAAAGGATATATATCTGTTATCTATGAGAGAAAACTTATCCCATCTAAAATATAATCAACACATGATTAATGAATGGGTGGATTAATCGGATTGAGGATTTACTGAGCCGTGTTTAAGAGAAAGTTAAGTTTAGGTAAGTAGAAATTATGAAATTTGCTACCAGAACGCATTAGCGTAAAAGCAAAAGTATCTATAGAAATTTATAAAGACGGAAAGGGGGAATTCGTGAGCTAACACGAGTAATAGCAAATGATGTCATAATATTTGGGAGTTGCTTCTAAAGAAAAGTATATTATCCGTTTACGCTTCATTTTCCATGCAGACATCATTTAAAATATTTTGTCAAAAATAAAATATATGATATTAAAAGTCAAAATAGATTACGATAGTTTTAAGTTGTCATGTAAATATTGTTTTCGATGTTATTTATAACTTTGTTCTTAATTTCTAGTTTTGTTTATTCTAACCTTTATTTATACTCTGCTCTGCCTGATATGAATACTGAAATATTTTACGTACCCGAAGTGATTTATTTTCCAGATTAAATTGTTTGTAAATACTAGTAAATTGATCCGGCGACCTTGCTGGCCAAGGTAATGTTCGGCAAGCACTAGGGCAAGCAGTAGAAGCATATGTAGTGTGGGGGCGGGCATTATCTTGCTAAAACGTAAGCCCAAGGTGGCGTGACATGAAAAGCAACACAACGGGCCTTAGAACTTCGTCTATGTACCGCTGTGCTGTAAGGTTTCGACGGATGACAACCAAAGGGGTCCTACTATGAAATGAAATGGCACCCCAGACTATCACTTCTGGATGTCGGACTGTCTGCCGGAAGGCAGTCAGGTTGGTATCACACCACTGCATCTCTCCAGACTCCAGACCATCTCCAGACTCGCCTTCGCTGGTCATCGGGGCTCAGTTCAAAGTGGGACTTATTACTGAAGGACTATTCTACTCCAGTCAGCGACATTCCAGTGCGAATAAGCCCGAAACCACTGCAAACGGGCTTGACGTTGTACAGAGGTCAATGGTAGTCGGCGGAAGGGGCGCCGTGGCCTCAGCCCCCTTTCTGTGAGCCGTCTATGAATTGTCCTTGCGGTCACTGAAGAACTAGTTGCACGTACAATCGATAATAATGATGCATCTTGGACTGTGAGTGTCGCTCTGACGATTGTTCGGTCTTCACGTTCTGTCGTTTCTGTAGGCCTACCACTTCCTTCTTGACGCTGTGTGCGGCCATGGTTCACCCATTTCAGCCAACATCGTCTAATAGTGGCATCGCTCCTGCTCAAATGTCGAGCTATCCGTCGACCAACCGGCTTCTTTGATCCCAACTACACGACCTCTCTCAAATTCTGACATCTGTCTCATATCGTTCGCGCACCTGTATGCGAGGCATAGTTGCTGTCTACCAGAGTACGCAGACTGAAATTTGTGAAGGATTTATGACTTGGAATCGTAATTTTTCCTCTTAAATATCCTACCAGTTGCGCAGATCAGATGCGCTGTAGCACCTATATGCATATCAATTTGTGTCTAATTTGCTTTATATCTTCTCGGTGCGTCGTGGTGCATTTTTTTTTTTTTTTTGTTTTTTTTTTTTTTTTTTTTTTTTTTTTTTGTTTAAGAGTGTATGTTGTCATTTGCGACTACAAAATTTCCCACAAACTTTGTCATGTAATCAGCTTTATGGCTTGTATTTTTCACTAAAGGATTGAAATGATCCATACGAATAATAGCAAATGTCTTTTACCAGATTTTACAGGACGTATCAATCCTTGGGCTTAGCCACCTATCACTTTATTCATGGACACTCAAAGTACGCTAACATGTATCTTCTCGCATATCGTTTCATGCCTGGAAACCAATAAAATTACTTAATTTTGCTAACTGTTCTTTGCACAGACAAGCGACCAAATAGATCCTGCAATTTTACAACATAACTTTTCCTCGTGGTTTTAAGGATAACATAGAGCAATCCGCCTTTCCCATACAAAGCAGCCCACTTCTTTTGAACACGTATTTTCTAATTATTTGTTTCTTACTGCAGTTCGCTCCTCTTGTTTCTTCTTGAAAATATGGATAATTCCCTTCTGTTCTCTATTAGCATGTTGTATCATAAGTATTTGCTCTTCTTCAGTTAGGGTCTGACAAAGTTCAAAATTTTAAGCTAGACTCCTCATCGTGACATGAGCGTTCGATACTGGAACTCTACGTAAAGCGTACACATAAGACAGTTGTTTTCCTGGTCTATGTTGCTATTGCTAGATTTACTAAAAGAAAAAACGATATCGCAAGCAAACGACACTCAAACCTTTTTAAAGAAATAAACTTACCCATGTGATGAAAATCAAAACAGAGAAAAAATATTTTGCTTTAAAAGCTTTCATATATTAGAAGTTTTCATAAAATTTTAAAAAAATATTATTTTTTTGCTTTTGGAACACTTAACATTATTTTCATTCATGAAACATTTATTACACTCATGAAAATTTCACATTAAATACTTCCTTAAAACGGCAATAGACCTACAGATAATCAGTGTGAGGGCAAAAAAAATACTACTCAATTTATTGCATGATAAAATACTCAATAATTTTCTACAAAGCAAAAACTATTTTAAGAAGTAGATAAGAAGCTCGAAAATTTCAGAATTGTATAATAGTAACTTATAGTAGTTATATAATAGTAACTAAAATTAGATAAATTAAATTATATAAACAATAAACTTTAATTCTAATTATATTAACGAATTAATATTTTGCATTTTGCATTAAAGTGTTTGAAGAAAACATATTAAGTATTTTAGCTTATTTTAAACAAAAATAGTGAATGACTTTACCTTTCTACGGTCACAGCCAATAGGTTGAGAACAGATGCGAAGGCAGAAACTGACTCCGCGTAAGCTGCCAATTTGCAGATAGTTCCCTCGCTATCCCACTGCAAAACAAAATAGTGGGCTACATCTAAAGGTGCGCAGATAACCAAAAGTAATAAATCAGCAATAGCTAAACTGACAAGGAACACGCTGGTCATATTTCGAGATGCCTTATCGCCTACAATTGCAGCAATAACTGTCATATTGCCAGACACGCCTAGCACAAAAGTTATGATGTAAGTGACCACTATAAAAATGAAATACTCATTCATTTTCCAAGGAATTAACACTTCATTAGGATCCCTGAAATAGATCGCGTCTTCAGAAATATTTCGTATTGAGTAAGTAAAGTTGTAACTGCCTTCGCTTTTCACTTTATAAGAACTATTGTAAGCGTCAAATACTTCCTGGGTCTTCATCTTGTTTCTTTATTTCCAACTTTTTTTCTCGCTCCTAAATTATGACAAATATCCTTCAAGTGGTTTACCTTTTCATTTCATGTTCATGGTATGTTTATTTAACAGTGATAATTATTTTAGTGTCAAATACCATTTTATTTTTAACACATTTCCTGAAAAGGTATGTACACAGAATTTGTCATTACAAATGAAGAATTAAATGTAAAAAGCACATTCAATTGCGTTAGAACTACGCATTTGGATTGAGCAGCTGTCTGCTGTTGTCCTTCATTAGGAATTCTGACTGAAAAATGCGACGGCTTTCTTCGTTCGTTTAATTAAGAGATCAGGGTATCTTCCGAATTATTTTTTCAATCTGCTGAAATTCTTTTGCATTGAATTTTGCTGTATGTTGAAAATGACATGAAATTCACACATTCCAGGATACGAAGAGCATGAGTTATCTTCTGAACCTATAAAAATAACAATATGTAATAAATAAGCTTTAGTAATATATTTCCATGATTTGTTTTACTTAAGGAAAACATTAGCTTTGAAAGTATGGGGGAAAAAGAAATCTTATACCTGGTAAAAGTTTTCCAATAAAATTTAAATTACTAATAAAAAATATCTTTGGAACTACGTATATCACACTAGTAAACAAACAAATTAGTCACCATTACGCAATTTACATATTTTAAAATGCGAAAAGGTGGAGATATGTTTATTTAGGAAATTCTGTAAATATTTTACATATTTTAGATTTCTTATCTTATCATTTATTTTTAATTGTGCTTTTATTTATGAACTCTAATTTAAGTTATTTATTGAACACAAAATTTCCTTTATAAGCTTGCCCTTCTTAGAAAATTTCTTTAAAAGAAGTAATATCTGGGCATGAAAGTATGAAGGCAAATTTTTTCCTTAAAGCAGAAAGTTCGACTTTTTCGGCATTGCTACTAGAGTTTCGTTATAAGGCGTTGCTTGTGCTTTTATTTGACTCACAGAAATCCGGTTTCTGTACACATAGACGAAAAAAATGCAGCTTACGTTTCATACATAAAAGCATTCCAGTTTCATTTCAAACAATTTTAGTTTCTGCCTACATATCCAGAAATGATTAGAAGCAAAGCAAAAGTATTTCTCGGTTTCAATTATATTGCACAAAAGAAAGACTAATGTTGTGTTCAGTTTATCTACACACATCCTGTTTCAAGGAACAGACAGTTCAGAGCATATTTATCTACTTTTAGCTTTGGGCGATTACGTAGATGCACACGAGGATACGATAGCAATGTTTCCTTAGAGGATTTTCTAAGGAAACTTTGCTATCATTTACGTTTCATATGGAAAAATTACGGAAAATGTTCATGCAACCAGTCCGTTTGCCGAGATCCGAACACGGATCGAACGGAAAGCCTTCGTAATGGTGTCGAGGTATAAGGAAGTGTGCACAAACTGAAGATGTTTTGTTGCTCGAAACTGATAGTCTGTACCCTTGTGTTAATCCGACGTTTTTGATAAGGGTGAGCTCCCCTTATTGCAAGTAGGCTTTTCCTTTAAATTACTGAAAAATTCATTTAGCAGAAGATAAACAAATTTTCGACACTTTAATGAAAAACGCCGGATTGTCACAAGGGTGTCAAGCGTTTTGTAAATAACAATAAATTTTCCGGTTGTACTTCCCGGAAGTCTCGGGTATTTCAATAAATTAAACTTTTATTTTCAGCGTTATGTTAAGTTTTCATAAGCATAACGGGTGAAAAGGTAGATACCGTTTTATCTTTGTAAGGATCCTAAGTTTTACTAACGTTTATTTTATTTTAAAACTGTACTATCACTTCTTATTTTCTACTTCCGGCCAGAATTAAACGCTTTAACTTGTTTATGCAAATTGTCTTGCTAACGCCCAAGTACTTAAGTTGTGGCTTTTTGCCAAGCAAGAGAGAGGAAGGAGTTATTGGAAGCAAGCCGCTTGCCATTGTGGTTTTACGAGTTTTCACTCGGTTGCTGGTTGCCTTCAAGGCCAGAGGTTTAGTCCTCTTGATAATTGCAAACGTATCGTAGTTTTAGCAGGTCGGCGTACTACATACTGACCTTTGTTAAAATAAAGGCCAATCTTAATGCTAGGCACTTGTATACTAATTCAAAGTTAGTTTTAATTAGAGTTTTAGTTAGTAGTTTTAATATTCTTACTTTCAGACCACAAGTGGTTGGTCTCTGTATTCCGTAGTTCCGGAAATACCTGTAAAGATAGAAAAATAAAGGGTTTTGTATACCCTTCCTGCTTGTGTTGTCTATTTCACACCTTCCTGAACATAGCTTGAGTAAGCTCCCTGTTCTTATTCAGGACCAGTCATGTTTCCAAAGCAAGTCAAGAGGAATACAAGTCCTGATAGGCGTACTACATATGTACCTTTCTTTAAATAAAGGCCAATCTTAGTGCTAAGCATTTGTATAGTAATTCAAAGTTAGTTTTTAGTTAGAGTTTTAGTTAGTAGTTTTTATATTCTTACGTTCAGACCACGAGTGGTTGGTCTCTGTATCCCGAAGTTCGGGAATACCTGTAAAGTATTGAAAATAAAGGGTTTCGTATAATCTTCCTGCTTGTGTTGTCTATTCCACACCTTCTTGAACATAGCTTGAGTAAGCTCCCTGTTCCTATTCAGGACCATTCATGTTTCCAACGAAAATCAAGAGAAATACAAGTCCTGATATCTTAAGCCTACTCTTTACCTTTTGTTGGATCCAGAATAATTATAAACAGTAAATTTAATAAAAATATCTTATAATAAATCTTCAATACTGAATTTAATACTCAAATCATTCTGTAAAATACTCAATTTTTCATATCTTCTATCTAATAGTTTAAATAACCCATCAGATGTTTCTTTCGGTAATCTATGTACATGTCTATTTCCTTCGAATTAATGAAAGTAGCTTTCATATTGAATTCAAAATTAAAAAAATAGTTATTAATGAAATATATATATACGTATTCACCCTTTATGTGTGTAGTAGTTTGTCATTTCGTTGGAAATGGAGTTTAGTTTATTGAAATGCCTGAGTCCTTTACCGAGAAATACAATCTGAAAAATTGTCCTTATGAAAACTAAGCATCTTCCTGAAGATCCGGAAATTTCATAAAGGTGCCGAAGATTTATTTCTTCACCTGCTTAGTTATTAATCAGTAATTGAAACGAAAATCTGACTTGAGAAAGAGTATACTCACTTTTATGAAAAACGTCGGGCCTGCATAAAGATGCAGGCAATCAGTTTCAAGAGAGAAAGTGATCTTCAGTTTGCTCCCATTTCTTTATATCGAGACACGGTTATGAAGATTTCTACCTTTTCAGAAAGCAGCCGACTTGCACAGATGTGCTGCACCGTTATGCCGGGGTACCGTTATGAAGCGTTATGACGTTCATTATCTGTGTAATATGAACCCATTTTGCTATTTATTGAAATTTTTCTTTACTATTTAGGAAAAAATGCTTTTGATGATTTCACTAACCAGTTTATGGATACAATTGCTTGTTAGCGTTCATCTTCGAAATATCAGCCTTAAATTCTAAGCATATTTCTTAGTTTCGATGTTGCATGATGGATAAATGCGTACTTTCATAAGCATTGAAAGTAAATGGAAAAATATTAAGAGCTTTTCGAGACGGATATGTCTAACTGCTGTTCAACAGTTTCATAAATTATGAAATAATTTGTGACCACCTAAGAGAGCAGCGAGACTATTGATAGTCTAGAAGTTCGAGAAAGGCAATAAATAATTAAACTATCTTCTTGATAACCCCTTATAGATGTAAAATGCGTACAGAGTATTTTCACCTGTGTCGTTATGAGCAACGAAGTTCATACAGAATCACGAGTACTTTTATATAACTGCTAAATTAAGTATATATTTTACATGCTTGGAAAAATAGGAAAGGGAAAACAAGCAGTGTTTTAAGTATTTTAGCAATAAGACTTACTTATGAATGCATGAATACTAGAACTATAGGTTTCAGTGACATTTATATATGTTTATATAAATGTAAACTCAAAATGAATATACTCTACATAAATGATAAATATTTTCTCTACAGATGTATCTTACTTTCCGCTAAATATAATTCTAACAAAATAACATAATTGTTTAAGTTGCATTGTCTATTGAAACAGCCAATTTTGTTTTCAGGGTCCGCAGTAAGTAGTTGGTTATAGTAGGAGGATTTGGACTTAACGCTCAGATATTTTCAGGAGCAATCGCTGCAAGGTTTGTGGTCACAGATGATAATGTTTTCTTTCGCGATTTATTTCATCCAATAAACCGATGTATAAAAATAAAAATTATTCGAAGTAACTGATCAGCATGGATCCTCAGCTTATGGAATGTTTTAGGAGAAAAACTACAGCGCTTAATCTTAAACTGAAAAAAGTTTTACGATCATTGAGGATATTATCATAATAGCATAGCTTTTCTTTGGATCCCATTTGGAACATTTTACACAAGATCAGTTTCTGTAAGGCAATAAATTTTACAAGTGATTTAAAAAATTCTCTAAAGCAAGACCTTTTACAAGTTCTCCAAAGCAGTTGCAAGTGATAAAAAGTCTCTGAAATAATCAAAATTCCCTTAATTTAAAGGTAGCTTCGAGAAGCTTGAGCACTCAGAGTTAGAGAACTGTTTCCTGCTTTTGATATCTAGAATTTGGCATTTATTATGTGTTGCCTTGAAGATAACTTGGAATTCCTTCAGCCCATCAGCAGCATCCCGAAATGGCAAAAAGCCAGCAGAAAAAAAAAAAAAAAAAAAAAAAAAAAACACTTTTGTTTTACATTTGATTTATATTTGTAGAATCAGTTTTCAAATAGATTCCACAACCTATGATTATAATCCGCAATCGTTTTGAAAATACTTTTTAAATATTTTTATTAGTACTTGAAACGACTTCTAAGTTTTATAAAGGACGTTTTCCATTTTAAATTTATAGAGTGCCAGTCGACGTTAATGAACAATGGCTGTGCAT